TGGGGTGCAGATGGTTCCCTTGGTGCATGGCCACGGGGTGCAAATGGTTCCCTTGGTGTGTGGCCGTGGGGTGCAAATGGTTCCTTTGGTGCATGGCCATGGGGTGCAGTTGGTTCCTCTGGTGCGTGGCTGTGGGGTGCAGATGGTTCCCTTGGTGCGTGGCCGCAGACGGTTCCTTTGGCAATCCTGGGTGTTTCAGACAAGGCTAACTTCCACAAGGAAGTGGGTACAGTGCCGAAGCGATGCTCCTGCCCAAAATACTTCACCAAGGAGGTGAAAGCAAAGCTGGGCAGTAATCTCTACCGTGGGTCTGATACTGCAATGCCCAGGGCAGTGCTTGGCTCTCACAGCACCTTTCTGCCACCTCCCTGCAGCACATCGTCGACACCAGACTTGAGGGCCAGGCTCGTGGATGCGGCTGCCACCCAAGCACCCCATCTGAGGCAGACCCCATCTTGAGGGGACCTCCGGGATGTGTCCAACTGAGCTGGACCTGGCTAGTGGTGTCTGGGGCAGTGTCACCCCATGGGGAGCGGGGAGCCACTGGACGTGGTGACAGGGGACTGACGGTGATGTCTCTCTCTCCCCACAGTGAATCCCTGCTGCTATTACCCCTGCCAGCACCAAGGGGTGTGCATGAGGGTCGGCCTGGGAGGATACGAGTGCGACTGCACGCGGACGGGATACCACGGGGTCAACTGCACCTCCCGTAAGTCCCCTCTCGCCCAGAGGACCTCCAGCACCCACAAGTCCCAGGGGAGGGGGGCACGCGGCGCCTGCAGCATGTGCTCTCACCGGCAGCAACAGTGCCAGTGGGCTGGGGCCATCGGGGGCCGGGGTCATTGGTGGGCTTCAATAGCAGTTTGCCTGGTCTGTCTTTCCCAGCTGAGCTCTGGACACGCCTCCACAACCTGCTGAAGCTCAGTCCTGCCTCCTACCACTTCATCCTGACCCATTTCAGGTGGTTTTGGGACATTATCAACAGCACCTTCATCCGGGACACGCTCATGAGGCTTGTGCTCACAGGTGAGGGCTTGGAGCGGGTCTCGGGGTGCAGCAGGACTTGGGGATCTCCCAGGCATCAGCAGAGACATGGGCGGGAGCAATGTGGCTGCACTGATGCTGAGCAGCTCCCATGGGAAGGGGGGGCACTGGGCTTGGGTCACCTCACTCTGAGACCCAGGGAGGCATCACCCTGCCGGGGGGGAGGCTGGGTGCAGGGGGTCAGCAGGCTGGGCTGGCCATGCATCCCCAGCCGTGCTGGGCTGCCAGCCAGCTGGAAAACACAAGCGGCCCTCGGCACGCTGCGCTCCCCCGGCCAAAGGGCTCTTAAGCAGCCGCACGGAGCAACCTGCGGAAATATGGAGCTGGCCCTTGTTACTCATGTCCCCACATTCATCACTTTGCATAAATATTTAGGCTCCAGCCCTTGGAGCCGTAGTAACATGTTCACAAGGCTCAGGCTGTTGGTTTTACCATTTCTATGTGGTTGTCATCTCATTCATCACCCAAGAATCCACTTAGTGCCTTAGGATGAGCCCTCCTCTTCTGCAGGGAACTGCAGCCTTTAAAAGCTGGGAGCAAAGCTTGGGACACCCTCATGCCTCTGCTGCCTCTATCTTTCTGGTTTTCAGGGTGTCGGAGGAGGGTATCTGGCAGCACTGAGTGGGTGGGCAGGGGCCAGGGGCAGAGCCCGTGGGGTGCTGCCCCATGCCCCACTCCCCACAGTGGTGACCTCTCTCTCTCCTTTCAGTTCGTGCCAATCTCATCCCCAGCCCTCCCACCTTCAACTCTGACTACGGCTACATCAGCTGGGAGGCCTATGCCAACGTCAGCTATTACACTCGCGTCCTACCGCCCGTGCCGGACAACTGCCCGACGCCCATGGGGACCAAAGGTACGCGGCTGGCCTGGGGGAACTGGCACCTGAAGCAGCCCCCCAGGGCTGTACCCAGTGCAGCATCGGTGTTTCCCACCTGCTTGTGCCTGAGCTTTGGCTGCCACGGACACATCTGCGAGGCACCACTGGCAGTGCCGTGCGGTACAGCTCTCCTGCCCGAGCTGGCCCCCTGAGCAGGAGGAGCGCGACGGCATCTGAAATGCTGCTGGGACAGCTCAGGTTGAGCTGCTGGGGCATGCTGTAGCCTGTGTAAGAGGGGTGTAAGGTGTCTGTGCAGACAAGTCAGCGCCTGGTGCTGCAGCAGACACAACAGTGCTCACCGGCAGCCCCACGGCCAGCACCGGTACCCAGCCAGGCTGGCATGGGGCTCCTGCTCTCACACTCCATCCACCCTTTGCAGGGAAGCAGCAGCTCCCCGACGCCCAGCTCCTGGCAGAGAGGTTCCTACTGCGGCAGAAGTTTGAGGCCGATCCCCGAGGCACCAACCTGATGTTCGCCTTCTTCGCCCAGCATTTCACCCACCAGTTCTTCAAGACGTCTGGGAAGATGGGACGAGGCTTCACCAAGGCACTGGGACACGGGGTGAGGGGGG